CACCTTTGGCGACTGTAACCTCGTCATAGGTGCAACAATCCTGGAGTATCCGGTGATGAATCGCTGATAGTAGCCCGCCAACCCCATGAATGAACGGACGTCCGTGGTGTTGGTGGGCTCGGGCCATACTCGTAGGGCCTCGATCTTGTCCGCAAACGGACGGATGCCTTGCGGCGTCACATAGTGTCCCAAGTACTCCAGCTCCTGCTGTGCGAACTCGCACTTGTCGCGGTTTGCTTTGTACTTGGCCTGTCGTAGCCGCTCCAAAACGGTGCGCAGGTGTTCCACATGCTCGTCCAGACTCCGGCTGTAAACCAGAATGTCCACGAGGTAGATAAGTACGAAACGATCCAGTATGTGTCAGAACTCCATCGTCATAGCCGCTTGGAAAATGGCTGGGGCATTCGTAAGGCCAAATGGCATGACCAGCCATTCGAAATGGCACCGAGTCTTGAACGCGGTCTTGTAGCGATCCTCCTTGCGAATCTYGAGTTGGTGGTACCCTGACTTGAGATCCAGCTTAGAGAAGAACTGGGCGCCGCCCAATCGCTCGAGAAGGTCGTCGATGCGTGGGAGAGGGCCGACGTTCTTGATCGTCTGCGTGTTGAGCTTGCGATAATCGATGCACAACCGCAGGTCCTTGTTCTTCTTCCGGACGAAGAGAACAGGAGCACCGCATGGCGATGAGCTAGGCCGAATCCAGCCTTTCTCTAGAAGGTCGTCGAGTTGTGCCCGAAGCACACTTAACTCTTCCTCGCTCATTCGGTAGATGCAACCGCGCGGAGGTACGGCCTCGTCCTCGAGGATGATCTCGTGGCGGATGGGTCGATCCGGTACTACTCCGTGCGGGCCTTCGAACACGTCGCTGCAGGCGTTGAGAAGTTCGGTGATGCGTGGATCCGAAGGTGAGTCCGTCGATGAAGCGTCATATGGCGGGAGGGCGTGGAGAAAACACACCCCCATCTCCTCGATGTCGTCTCGGATGATGGAAGCTCGCATGCTTGCGGCGGATACCACGTGGCAGCTGATCGAAGGATGAGGAAGAGGCACCGCGCATGGAACTAATACTCCGTTCCGGTCACGAACGTGAACGGTGCGGTTGAAGAAGTTCACCGGGTGATCCTTGCTTCGCAGCCATGACATGCCCAAGATCATGTCGAATTTGGTGTCCAGAATKTCAAAGGACACCGCCTCACTTGCGTGAGGGGCAAAGTACACTGGGACGGCGTGAATGCACCGGTCGATGAACTTCTGCGTATGACCGTCTGCCAGAGTGACTTGTGTAGGCTGGGACTTCCTCCGGACACGTGGGCCAAGGCCGGCGCGTACCATGAAGTCCTGGCTGATGTAGTTGCGAGATGCTCCGCAATCGATCAAGGCACTGCAGGTCGCCTCTCCGATCTGAATGCGTATGTATAGCAATGGTGCGTCGATGTCGTCGTACCGTTGCGTCTTGAACTCGCGGTCGATCTTCGCGATGAAAGCGTGAAGGTCGACAACCTCTGCTCCGGCGTCCATCAACGGAGCTGGTACTACAGTGTGCAAGTAGTCCTCCAATTGTGCCATAAGCACGTTACAATGCGGTTTCGGCAATCGTCCGGTCGAGGGAACGGGCATCCACTGGAAGTCCGTGAACGTCAATGGGTCGAGCTCTTCAAGTCTTGACCATGACGTCGAATCCCCGGCGATAGATTGCGGCGAAGCTGCCGAATCGGTTGCTGATGGTGATGAAACCGTGCATGCGGTGGACTGTTGCACGTGGAGCGGTTGGTCCAGTGGTGGAACCAAGTGGACAGCATAATCCTCGTAAGTATACCGAGGACTTGCGACATTCGCATCCTCCCCAGATGTGCAGGAGGCCGCTGGCAAGGCGGCCGAATCTAGCGGAGTAGAAGGTGGAGTCGCCTCACCTTCCGCGGAGCTCAGTTTCCCAAGCTGAGGCGGGGTCGCACATCCTCCTTGCCCTGATCTTGGCACAGGGAGGTCTTGTGCTTGGTGCTGTTGCACCAATAGCAGCTGCCGTAGCGGCCGCGGACCTTGTACTCCGCCTCGGTCAAGCCAAACTTGACCCATGGCAACTGTCCTGGTTGTCCATTTCCGGCCTGTGATGCGGATTTCGCCTTCCTATTGTTGCGGGACTTGTTGGTGCTTCGCGGCTGGACAGCGGCCACCTGATCTCCGTCACTTGATGCTGGAGTGGCTGCTGGGTTATCTCCACTGTCCTGCTGGACTGCAGCGAAGTGCTGCTGTTGCGGACCAGTTCGTACCTTCTCCACATAGGTCGGCTGCCATGATGTTGATTTCTCGTGTGCAACTGACCTGTTGGTCTTGATGATCTCCCTCGCTTTGTCAATGATCTCCGCGAAGGTTAAGTACTGCTCGCGATCACCAAGAGCCTGGCTCAATGCCGCACAGGACCTGTTGTAGAGCTCACGGCGTAGATGCTCGAATGGTAGGTTCAGATTGGGCACAGCCGCAATCTTCTGCCACTCCGTGAGCCAGTCCCGTGTTGCTGTGTTGCCCTGTGACATGGTGAACAAACGGTTGATGGCGAGTGTCGGCGCGTCGTCGACGATGAACTGCTTCTTCCACAGCTGTGTCAGTTCCTCCCATGTGATTACGTCCTTCAAGTCTGGTACGTAGACGCCGTGGGAGGTTGCCAGGTGGCTCAACCAGGTCTGGCATCCGCCCTTTCAGTTCAGGAACAGGGCGCCGATGTACGCATGCTTGGCTACTGCCAGAATCCTGGACGGGATCCTGCTGCGTGTAGTCGTCGAACCTCTCCAGGTTGAAAGTTGGCATCTTGTACATTTTTGGATTGTCGTCCGCGTTCGTCGACTGCAGCATCTGGACCTCGGTCTTCAATGTATGCAGCTGACTGCTGATGGTGGTGGTCGGCGCAGCGAAGGTGCTGATGTCGCCGAGCATTGCCACTACGTGGTCAACGCGGTCCTCCAGTTGGCGGCTTGAGGGTGCACTGTTGGAAGCTCCAGCAACTGGTCCTGGTACAGCTTGTTCCAGGTCCAACAATCGGGCATTGAGTGCCCGAGCTGCATCCTCGTGGCTCTGCACTGTGCGGCGGAGCGTCGCCAACTCCTGATGCTGTTGCGTCAGGTCCCGGTACTGTCTCTCCAACTCTGACCGTTGGTAGTTGCAAGCATACAACAACCGCGTCACGAGTTTGGAGAGGAACTCCTTGTGCTTCTCTTCCGATGTTGCCTCGTCGCCCTTCGGTTTAAAATGCCAGTACTCGAGTCTGTCGATGCTGTTGGCTTCATGCCGCTGCAGCAGATCCTGGGCTTCCTTGCGGCGAGCCTGGGCATCTGCGTCTGCATCGGCCTGTAGCCGCAGCTTCTCTGCTGCTGCTGCCTCGACTGCCAGCAGGCGTTGTTCCTCAGCCTCTATCTGAGCCAGGCAACGCTGCTTGTAGGCGGCAATGGTCTCATTGGCCAGTTGGCCTGGCAGGCCCGTGATGTTGCTGACCTGGCACTGCTGCTTACGTGGCACTGCTGATGTGGCACTGCTGACGTGGCACTGTCTGACGTGGTACTGCTGACGTGGCACTGCTGACATGGCACTGTGTCGAACATCACTGCTGACGTGGCACTGTGTCTGACGTGGCACTATGTCTGACGTGGCAATGTGACCTGGCACTGCTGGCGTGGCACTGCTGATCTGGCACTGTGACGTGGCACTGCTGACGTGGCACTGTGACTTGGCACTGTGACGTGGCACTGTTGAAGTGGCACTGCTGATCTGGCACTGTGACGTGGCACTGTACCGAAACGGGATGCATGCAAGGGGTGGGTGGGAGGGAGGTAGCCAACCCAACAATACTTTCCTCCGGCCCTAATCAACAGATAAAAT